TTCATTTTGCTTATGTGGTGCTGAGGAATAGAACCCACGGTCTCATGCGTGTGAGGCAAGCACTCTACCACTGTCCAACGCTAATTTCTATTTTTAATTAAAAATAAGTGTGCTGCCAAGTGCTAGTGGTGCACAAATGTAATCCTATTTACTCAAGAGGCTGAGGTCCGAGGATAAAAGTTCAAAGCCAGCACAGGCAAAAAAGTCCATGAAAGGTTTATCTCCAATTAACCAGCAAAAAGCTGGAAGCACAGCAGTGGCTCAAGTAGTAGAGTAATAACCTTGAGCAAAAAAACTCAGAGATAGTACCCAAGAACTGAGTTCACAACCCAGAACTGGCATCACACAAAAAATAGGTGTGCTTAGTTATACAGTGCTTTTTACTTAAAATGACAACATGCTATAAATGAAGGAAATACCTCCAATCACACAACTAGAACTATACTCCAGAATTCCAGTACTTATCACCCTCGCCCCCACTTCTCAATCCTCACTAAACAAAGGGCCAAAAATTCACTAGGGCAGAATGAACAAGAGTGGAAATAACAGCCTCAGAGAAATTGAGGAGTTGCTCAAGTGGACTCAAAGGTGGTAATTCAGCAAAACAAATCTATAGGCAGAGGAAGGGCAGAGGCCAGCAACGAATACCACTGACGCCAAGTGCTATGGTTTGAATGTTTGCATGCCCTCCAAAATGCATGTTGCAACTCAGTCCCAAATGCAACAACATCACAGATGGGAACTTTCAGGAGATGATTCATGAAGTTGCAGCCTTAAGAAATGGCTTCATGCCTTACACAGAAGCTCCTGTGGCCCTTTTTGCCCGTCTGTCAGATGAGGAGACAGCAACAAGGCACGATTATGAAGCCCAGTACAAGTCTTCATCAGATGCTAACTCGACAGCCAACTTGACCTTGGACTTCAGACTCAACTGTGAAAATAAATGCCTATTATAAATTACCTTGCCTATGGTATTTTGTTATAGCAGACAAATGGAGTCACATAGCTGAAAAGACTCAGGAGATAAAGACATCAAATATTTCCCCTGAGGAAAAGTACAGAGCAGGAAAATATATTTAAGGTCTTTAAGAGAAATGGTTATGCCTCTCCCCCCTATTCTTCATAGCCAGGAAACTACCTTATATTCCCTGACAGAAGAAAAATGGGTACCAAATGGTGATGCTCCTGATGATGGCCAAGAACCAGGTGTGAGCTAGCCCTCTACTCCAAAACAAAACCAAAAACAAAAAGTAGATACGTTCCAGGGAAATCAATGAGACCTGTGAAGAGGTCTCCACAAGAAAGTCAGGTACCATGAGGAACACCAGACCCCAAGAGGTACACCAGACCCTGTGCTCAGAGCTTTTCATTCACTTTTTAGGGCCATTCTCACATACAAACAAGGAACCAAGATCATTACACATTTGATGAGACTCTCAGAGTCAAAGACAAGGACCAAAACAAGTATATGGAAGAGCCTAAAATAAACAGAACAGGAAAGAAGCAATATAGAAAAGAATGAAGAAAAGTTTCACAGTCATGAACTACTGAATGCTATAAAAAAATTTTTTTTGCCAGTACTGACCTTAAACTCAAGGTCACAGGCTGTCCCCTTGCTTTGTTACTCATAGCTGGTGCTACTCTACAATTTAAGCCATACCCCATTTCTAGTTTGATTGGGTTTGGGGGTTTTTTTCTGGTTATTTAGAGATCAGAGTCTCAAGAATTTGTCTGTCCTGTCTGGCTTTAAACCATGGTCTTTAGATCTCAGCTTTTGAGTAGCTAGGATGGTAGACATGAGCTATACAACTGGTGCCCAGCTTGGATCCCACAAGTTTTAAATTTTTTTAAAGTCACAGAACATCATATTTTAGAAATTAAAAATATGAAGCTCTGTAAGGTAGCACACACCTGGAAGCTCAACACTTAGAATTCTGAGACAGAAGGATCATGAGTTCAAAGTGAGTGTGTGTGAGTGTGTGTGTATACATATATATACTTTGTGTGTGTGTATATATATATGTGTGTGTATGTGTGTGTGTGCAAGCAAGTAAGCAAGAATTAAAACTACAGAAAAAAACTGAAAGATAGAAAATGGAATAACTTACTAGAAAATGGAGGAAAAGGAAAAGTAGGGGTAACTGAAAGAAATAAAAAGGACAGAGATAAAAACTGAGAAACACTTTTTTAGGCAGGCCTCAATATGTATGTAGTCCAAGCTGGACTCAAACTTGTAGTCCTCTTGCCTCAGTCTCCAGAGTTCTGGGATTATAAGTGTGTGCCACCATACGCATTTCTACAAACAAAACAGTACAAGAAATATATTACAATTTCAAGGAAATAAAAGACACAATTATCATGATTAAAAGGACCCACCAAATGCCCAGCACATAGAATGAAATAAATACCATGCAAAAATCTGTGGCTATAAAATTTCAAAACAGAAGGAAAGGGAAAACTATAAAAGCTTCCATACAGTGTGCAGAGACGGACTGAAAGGCATATGGCCTTAGATCTTCCCAGCCCATGACCAGGGCGAGAGAAAGTATAGAAATGACATCCAAATGATGCTTGGAATCACTTCCAAGCCAGACGACCATCCAGGTAAATCCAGTCAAGCCAAGAGGTTTAAACACAACCTTGTGGACACATCAGATAGTCCTACACTTACCCTTCACTTACCCCTCTGTCCAGAAGTTCATGGAACATAAACCTTAGAACAAATGAAATAAGAAACTCTCCACAGTGAGGGAGTAGCCCTAAAGAGGATGAATCTACATTTAGGAGAGAAGAAATCTAATTCTGGAGATAATCAAAAGACTTTACAGGTGTACTATCACTGAAGGATCCAAACTGGAGTTGTTTCACCAAGGGGAAGAAGGAAAGACAAATTGGGAAGGAGGGAAGGTGGGAAAACAATTTGATGACTGTGAATGTGCTGAAAGATCTGTCATCTGTCAGAATGTTTAGTATGAATTTATAATAAATAGATTTAAAAGTTAATAAAAATATTTTTACAGGGGAAAATATTGCTTAATAAAAGAAACAGAATATAGTCACAGCTGGAAAGAATTTAGACTCAGCTGGAAATAATAGTTTCATGAGAATACCAAAAAACTGATTATTAATCTGAATAGAAAGTACTTAAAAATAGGGGCAATCAGGTGCTGGTGGCCCACGCATATAATCTAGCTACTCAGGAGGCTGAGATCTGAATATGGCAGTTAAAAGCCAGCCCAGCCGGAAAGCCTATGGGACTCTTCTCCAATTAACCACCAAAAAGGCCAGAAGTGGAACTATGGCTCAGGTAGTAGAGCACTAGACTGAGCAAAAAGTCCAGGGACAATGCCCAGATCACAAGCTCAAGCCCCAGGACCAGCACAAAAAAAGAGGGTACATGACAATGAGGGAACAAACAAAGAGAGGTATAAAAGACCTGTCATCATTTTCCAAACATTAATACCTAATATTTAAAGCTATCTTAACTATCAGAGTACAACCGCATAAACACAGCATTAAGGAATATGGAGATCACTATACATGAAGTAGCTAAAAAGGTACAAGTACTTCAAAGCACATGTCACTAGTGAACAGAAACTAAAGGTGGGAAAAAATCAGAACCATCAAAAGGGAAGAAATCATGAGAAGCAGTGCCGGGCCTCTGAAGGATTGGAAGGTCTCTGAAGAGGCAAAGAATAGAGCTGGGGGTCCCATGTGCCCCCATGGGGCATAGGCTGAAATTCACATAGTTCTTCCCCCCTGGTGAGGCAGGGCTGAATATACACTAGCTCAATGGGGATTTGCATTTAGTCATTATCTATTCTCTCAGTAATGATGTATTAACATTTACATCAAACTTTAAAGAACTGTTTTCACTAGACAATGAATCCTCAACAACTGTCAAGCTTAATAACCAATACTCCTCCTGGTGTCAACAGGAAATGTGGCTTTGTTATATGGACCTATAAAAATTTACTTGCAGAAGTACACACAAGTACTACCTTAAGATGCTTTGTATATGCCAGCATGGTGAATATTCAATAATTTTACAATATACTTCAAAAAATATAGAATGTCTGATCATTGGTAAACATCCCAAAATTCTGATTTAAGTTCAAATCTAGGTTTGCTATTTCTCTTTGACTAAGTACATGTGATACCCAGAATCTCCTTAGGGAGCTCCAGCCGAGACAAACTCGGACCAGCAGGGAAGACCATGAATCTATGACTATCTTGTAGAATCTAAATTCACAATGAATAAAAATTAAAATCCACAGTTGGAATCAATACTTGCCTTGCTTAGTATTAAACTTTAAGATTTTATGGCTTAAAATGTCAAATTATCAATACGGATAATTTTTTCAAGCAGATGTTTGTATCTGAACATACTCTACTTTTACATTCTTCCCAAAGGTAAAGATTGTTCACTGTGAAAAGCATGATATTGTTGATTAAAATAATAATTATTTTCCTCCCCCTTATATTAAAGCTAGACATCAATTTCCCTGGAAACTATCCTCCACAAATCAGCTCGGATCCATCTCAAACAGGTTCAGATGGCAGGAGTAGGTGGTTTAAAAATAAATAAAAGCAAGAGCTTTGCCATTTAAATCTTTAGTGGAGTTTAGTGGAGTTTTTAGTGCTATTGTTTAGAATTCATTTTGCGTAGCAGAGAAATTTAAATTGAAAAGTTTATAAACCTGAAGAGCACTAAGTCTTCATCTTCCATTTCACAAAGTAGTAAAACAGTGAACAATGATTGAAATAATGTCTCTTATTTCACAAAGCACACATTCACCAGCTATGATGGATCCAGAATCATCATATATAGCAAAGCAACTGAGATCTTCTTGATTTCAGCAGCCTTAGGAAACAATTCCCAAAATGCAAAGATGTCCTGAAAACATACCTATGTTAGTTCTACTTTTAAAGTGGCACAAGTTAGAGTTCAACTCTACCATGACCTCTAGTTTACAGAACACACAAGCTTTCTAAAATACCTGATTTTGACTTCAGGATAACCTGAATGGTGTGTCCATCATTAGTGACTTCACAGTCCCGGCAGACCACATAATTTGGAGAAAGGCGGACATCCAGCAGCGAGGGGTCATATCTAGCTTCTCTGGAGTTTAGGTTAATAGGAGACTGGTATTCCCCATTGGCATCTGGAAACACCAAGCCCCATTCAACACCTAAGGTCAAAATGTAAAAAAATAAATTAAAAAAAATTAAGAACAGATTTAACATGGAAAAACAAGTTTAAATGTTTCTCTGACCCTTGATATTACAAAGAGGATCTGATACAATTTCTGTACAGAAACTTAGATGACAAATGTACAAGATACTTTTGTTATGTAAGGAATGATCTAATCTTACCAAATACCAGACACAATATCGTACACCAATGCAATATTCTATTCTTTTGTAGTTGTCCACTAGTTGTAACAGTCTATGGCTCTAAAACATTTAATCATCTTTCAGTGATCAGAAAAGATATCACAAAAGTTTCTCCTTAAATTATGATCCATAGTTAGGAACTAGTTATAACTTTCAACATGGTAGGCACATGCCCAAAACTGCCATTTTGATGCTAGTGAGCACCTCTAAAAAGAAATGAGACAGTAAAAAGTGTGTCTACATGTATACTCATGTATACATGTATTATATGTATATGCATATACATATGTGTGTGTATATATACAAAGCTGTAATAAATTAAAATTCTATCTTCTATATGGCAACAATGATTAGCTATTAGGTGCCCTATGTTGTCAGGGAACAAGTTTCTTTTTAAAAGAAGCAGGAGGAGGAGGGAAGAGGAGGAAGTGGAAGAGGAGGAAGAAAGAGGAGGAGGAGGAGGAAAGAA